CTGCACTGACTCACCTGTAGGTTTGCATACCTTAAGACTTGGGGTTTCCTTCCTTGGTCTGCCCCTCTTTCTCTTCGTCTCTCTCTCCGATTAGGACGTTCCATTCAAATCGTTCACTTTTTCAAATTCTACAAACCATTTGTCTTTGTTTGTCACTTCTTGAACTTTTAGGACGTTCTTAATCTCACCTTTCTTGTCCCTATCACCATAGACCTGTTTCTCGTTAAATCTTACGTGTCTACTTTCGTAGAACTTTTCTTCTTCTGGTTTTGGTAGTATGTATTCTGTTGGAGTGTATTCAACCAGAATACCTCTCGCACATTCTGCCCTGAATTTCGGTCCTACCTTTCTCTCTACTTTCATGTACGCTAGGCTTTCAAATATCTTAATCTGATTCACACCAAAGCTATGTCCCGGCGCAAACTCTTCCAGTGGAGTTCTCATCTCATTAGATTTATGAGGAATTCGATTGAACGTATACACAACGGCAGACAGAGCCAGATCCCATATATTCTCCGGCAATTTCGCGTCGAACATGTAGGCACGCACCTTTTTCTGGATTGTCTGGTTGTATCGTTCAGCGACTCCATTGTGTTCTGGAGTATCAGAACTTGCTCGTTGTAGTTCCGCGCCTAACTTTTTCAATACCTCAACTGTGTGTCCCCCAGTAAATTCCGTACCTTGATCTGACCTAAGGTAGTACACCTTCGCGTCGTAACCCAACAGATTTCTGCCATTTCTAACAAACATTTCAAAGCAGTGACCCCTTTCACTTTTAGCCTTCATCGGGTATGCCATAGCAAATCTCGATTTTTCGTCAATGAACACAGATATGTACCTGTATCCCTTTGGATATGATCTCGGAGACATTGGTCCCATTACATCAGAGTGTATTATCTGCAAGGGCTCTGTTGCTCGCCTTCTCACCTTAGGAAATGACAGTCTCTTAAATTTAGAAGCTAAACACACTTCACACTCCATTAATGACTCATCGAAATTCACGCTTTTTAGTTCTTTATTGTCCGGGAATTTTGATTGTAAAGCTTTGAGATATGTTATCGATGCATGACCGAACCTAGCATGCCATAGCATGGCTTGACTATTACCCTGAATTTTATGTTTCTCAACTCCAAACAGATCAAAAATCTCACCGCTCTCATCTATTTGTGCCTTGTCTACCTTATCAATCTTTCTATCCCAAATTGAATAATAAAAATTGGATTGTTCCAATTGATTTTGAATCGGTTTAGGGGTTTCTTTACTATTCTGTTTGGCTGTGACACTTCGCGTGATGTGTCTTCTTACCTCTATGTCACCACCTACCATATTGGCTATAACTCGTCTAGTTGCACTTTTCTGTAGTTTTCTATTGAATGGACTGTACTTGTTTACTTCCAAATCTACTATCCAATACGGTTTTCTATACACGCTTGAGATAAATGACTCATTTAATTCTGGATTGAAGATATCTATTTTCTGGTCATCTAGATATATCGCAAGACCCATCTCTGTGAATCGTCTCAGAGACAGTAAGTTAGCCTGAAGGGCCTCAGCAAATATTACCTCATCTACTTTAAATTTCTCACCGCTGAACAATTCGATTTCTACCTGACCTACTCCCTCCATTCTCAAATCCGCTTGTATATTTTTATTCGCGCATTTGATCACACCCTTACCTTGTTCGTCGAGGGACTTGAAAATTAGTTTCGAATTAGTTAAGTGCTTCGTAGCACCAGAATCTGCTCGGAATACAGTAATAAATTTGTCTTTGTCGAAACAAACACCCACGTGCAATTCCTGACCTTCACAAAGTTCATCGTCCACTTCCATGCACTCTCCTGTCTCATTCGAATCTAACTCACCCTTCTCTTTGTTGTCTCCTCCTGAGGTTTTACTTGAGCTCTCCTTATTATACTTTATACTGGTCTTGGGCTTCGAGTACTTGTTGTCTCCTTTGCCCTTCAGGTTATAGTATTTCCCCCTTTTAGTGCTTTTTGGGTCATTCGTACCTAAACCCTCTGACCTTCTCTTCAATGACCCACCACCACGCCCAAATCCACGAAAACTATTTCGCCGGGAACTGGTGTGTCGTATGTTAACTTTTGGCTTGTTGTTTGTCTCATCTGAGTTTGGGCAATCCTTAATTATGTGCCCGTAGTCTTTACAACTGTATCATAGTTTGCCCTTACCCTTACCCGGGCAGTTTCAGCCGAGGTACCCGTATTCACCGCATTCAAAACACCGTTCTTTGAATCCGGTGAGGTTAGCGGCTCTCACCTCACTACTCCCCTCGCCAGACTGCTTCCTCGACGCTTCTTTCTGCATAACCACAAGTTTCAATTGTTCACAAGTGGGANACCTCTATGTCACCACCTACCATATTGGCTATAACTCGTCTAGTTGCACTTTTCTGTAGTTTTCTATTGAATGGACTGTACTTGTTTACTTCCAAATCTACTATCCAATACGGTTTTCTATACACGCTTGAGATAAATGACTCATTTAATTCTGGATTGAAGATATCTATTTTCTGGTCATCTAGATATATCGCAAGACCCATCTCTGTGAATCGTCTCAGAGACAGTAAGTTAGCCTGAAGGGCCTCAGCAAATATTACCTCATCTACTTTAAATTTCTCACCGCTGAACAATTCGATTTCTACCTGACCTACTCCCTCCATTCTCAAATCCGCTTGTATATTTTTATTCGCGCATTTGATCACACCCTTACCTTGTTCGTCGAGGGACTTGAAAATTAGTTTCGAATTAGTTAAGTGCTTCGTAGCACCAGAATCTGCTCGGAATACAGTAATAAATTTGTCTTTGTCGAAACAAACACCCACGTGCAATTCCTGACCTTCACAAAGTTCATCGTCCACTTCCATGCACTCTCCTGTCTCATTCGAATCTAACTCACCCTTCTCTTTGTTGTCTCCTCCTGAGGTTTTACTTGAGCTCTCCTTATTATACTTTATACTGGTCTTGGGCTTCGAGTACTTGTTGTCTCCTTTGCCCTTCAGGTTATAGTATTTCCCCCTTTTAGTGCTTTTTGGGTCATTCGTACCTAAACCCTCTGACCTTCTCTTCAATGACCCACCACCACGCCCAAATCCACGAAAACTATTTCGCCGGGAACTGGTGTGTCGTATGTTAACTTTTGGCTTGTTGTTTGTCTCATCTGAGTTTGGGCAATCCTTAATTATGTGCCCGTAGTCTTTACAACTGTATCATAGTTTGCCCTTACCCTTACCCGGGCAGTTTCAGCCGAGGTACCCGTATTCACCGCATTCAAAACACCGTTCTTTGAATCCGGTGAGGTTAGCGGCTCTCACCTCACTACTCCCCTCGCCAGACTGCTTCCTCGACGCTTCTTTCTGCATAACCACAAGTTTCAATTGTTCACAAGTGGGAGGGCTGCTTACCTTTGAGCTTGGCTGAGGATTGTAGGGAATGTACCATAGGTACAGATCCCATGATGGCATTATTAAATGCGTCCCTCTTTTCCTCATCGGATAGAGGAGTTGCATCTGCGGAGTTTTCATATGTTCGAATCACCTCTTCAAATTTCTCACAAAGCTCGACTGCTGTCATTTTGCCAATTACATACTGCATGTTAGAGATTTCTTTTCTCACCGTAAATGAAGATACATTAGTTTCGTATCTTTTTATCTCTGAGTTTATTTAGAATAGCTACTGGATCTTCTAGTAAAACTACTTTAGAATGATAGTTTTTGTCTATGTAATTGATCAATATGTCTCTTTTAACTGAGGGTCCTTTGTTAAGGATCTCCAGTTTTATGGCTTCAGCAACTTCTTTAGCAGTGCTATTTTCAGTGCTCCCACCACTTTGACTCTTTTCTTCTCGCCTCAGATTTTCCCATTGTCTTTTGATAAGATTTTCAATTCTCGCTTCTAATTTTTCATCCTTATCTAAATCATGGCCATCATTTGGTAAATCTGACCCATTTCTCACCTTTTTACCAGGGTCCTCAGTTTCAGGGTCCCTCAGGGGTCTCTTCGTCCCATAATCAATACGGGAGAGCCTGTCATCCCAACCGTTCCTCATCTCGCTCATCTCTTTTTTCATTTCCTTGATGCTGTCTAGTATCCAGCCACTACTGTTGGTCTGCATATCCAAAACCTTCACGAGTGTGCTGTTCACAGCATCAAGTTTCGAGCACACCGATTCAAGTCTGCCTTCCACTGGCATTTCAGTTCTTGGTTTGTTCGCGTGGTATTTTATTGGATTTGTCGGGTGGTTTTGTAACGTGGACCTTATTTTAACCCTTGAGAACTCGCGGTATAAGCGTGGCGCCGCCTATTTTCGATTTTTGCTTATGAGACAGAGAATTGATGAAAAAAAAAAATTGAAAAAATTTGAATGCATTGTTTCAACCCTTTGGAAGACACTGTAATCGTCGATTGCCCCGAAAAATGCACTGAAAATGATAAATTAGAGAAAAATAGAGCGCACGAATTAGGAAAGCGGCGCTGTGCCGCCCAGTGCGAGTAACGAGGGGACTAAAATTCTCCACGGCGCTGTTGCCAAGTGATACTCAAGTGCTCAAACGTGTTTGAACGAGTCCACTCGATCCTTTGATATTGGGCAAGGATTTTACTACATTCCCATACATTTTTAAGAAAAATTAAAGAACTGAAATTTTTGCATGTAGTGTTGTTAAACTGGTGAGTAAATTATGGAATATTATGCGTATAAAAACAGTTAATTTGGGGATAAAATCCCGTAGTAAAGTTCTGAGTGTTCTTCTCGCTTTTCGTTTGAATAATTGGGGTATTTTTTTATTTACACATGCGTAATATTTTTTTTTCTACATACAACTCGATCCTGATGACATTTTCCATGTTTTTTTTCAATTTTTCTGACGGTAATTTTGAGGTTATAACATCATATATTTACTTGGGATCGGTGACAGTTCTCCATCACATGTGAGGTAGCATATAGACGGTGTTAGATGATTTTTATTGTTTCTTTAGTGACAAATGGCAGGCAGAGCACGTCGAGTATTGCAGGAAGAGGATCACGGTGAGTTTGCAGAGGACTTGGGCGATGGGAGTGATAGTGATTATTCAGATGAAGAACCCTCACCTCAGTGTGATGATAATGACGATTCAATGGAGTCTGAGGATGCGGAATCAACAAGTAATTCATCTGGAATCCCTCAGTATTATTTGGGGAAAGATAAGAGGACGAAATGGTTCACGGAGATGCCCTCCAAAGACAAAACTCGACAGAAAAACATTCTCACAGAAACTCCTGGGGTCAGAAGGCCAGCCAAAGCTGCAAAAAACCCACTGGCTACTTGGGAGCTTTTTTTGGTGAAGATACTATCGAGGGAATTGTGAAACACACGAATGAAAAATTGAATGTTTTACGAGAAAAATGTCAACGTGAACGTGATTGTAGTTCAACTACTGTTGATGAAATAAGGGCTCTTTTTGGGTTACTATATTTGTGTGGTGGTCTACGAATGACAAGAACAACACGAGAGATTTATGGGCAACGGATGGCACAGCACCTGGATATTTCAGAACTGTCATGAGTGAGAATCGTTTTCGTCTTTTATTACGTGCTCTCCGATTCGATGATTCTGAAACACGTGAGGCTAGGAAGCAAACGGATAAATTAGCAGCAATTAGAGATCTTTGGGAGGACATCACTGCGAAATTTTTGAAAATGTACAGGGTTGGTGAGTGTGTCACTTTGGATGAGATGATGCTGGCCTTCAAGGGGAGGTGCAGTTTCAGACAATATCTGCCAATGAAACCAAACAGATATAGGTTGAAGGTCTTTGCTTTAGTGGATTCAGATACTTTTTACACATCTGTCTTGGAAATTTACACAGGAAAACAGCCCCCAGGACTATTTCAAGCTGATAACAAACCAATAAATGTGGTGAAACGTGTTTCAGCCTCCGTTTTAGGTACTGGGCGCAACATCACGATGGATAACTGGTTCAGCTCAGTACCTCTCATTGACGAATTACAGCACAAACATCGTACGACAGTTGTTGCTACTTTGAAGAAGAACAAGACAGAGCTCCCTCCCCAATTCGTCAATCACAAGAAACGCAGTATGAATTCGTCTTTGATTGGATATAATGATGGTAAAGTATTGGTTTCTTACGTTCCTAAGAAGAACAAATGTGCAATCGCCATATCATCAATGCATACCTCTGGTGCCATCGATTCAGGGACAGGTGCGAGAAATAAGCCTGAGGTAATTACTTACTATAATTCCACAAAAGGAGGAGTAGACTCTGTAGACCAGATGAGAGGGAACTACAGTGTAGCTAGGTGCTCTTGTCGATGGCCCCTGACAGTATTCTTTGGACTCTTGGATATAGTTGGGATAAATTCATGGATTATTTATGAAGAAAATACAGGACAGACTATATCTTGTAAAGAATATTTGACAGGGATTGCTAAGGATTTGACAAAACCATGGATGATGAAGCGTATAAAAGTTCCAACCTTGTCTCCAGATTTACGTATTATGATCAGAAAATTTACTGGCATCCGATTATCGGTGGGAAATGTTATGAGTGAGACACTCCTAAAGTTGTGCAAGTACTGTCCAAAGAAGAAGTATCGTAAGACAACTGTGGAGTGCGGTATTTGTCAGAGCTTGATCTGCGGAGAACACACTTCTAGAGTTTGCACTGAGTGCTTCGCTCGTATTAACTTCCTGGAGGAATAATATTCTGATTCAGACAATCGTATGAGGACTTCGGATCAATGAGTAGCCTAAGTCATAAAGTGATAATGAAAGATATATTATTCTAAAAAATGTTTATACCTGTTACTTTTGATCATTGAAGTTTATCTAAAGATAGTAGTGATTAAAAAGTATAATGAGAAGATATAAAAATGAAATGTTCAATGATTATGCAAACATAATCATAATAAACGTTTGTCTCGAGTAATTATGCATGTGTTTTTCCTTTTCACTAATAAAAGCCTTGAAAGTCATTATTTTGGTAGGAAAGTGATGATCCGTGACAAGCCAGTTTCAGAGATTTTTTATCGATTTTGGAATTATTTCGACAATGTGTGATAAGAGGAAAAAATGTCGGAGAACCTGTTTGAGCTTAGAAAATGTCCAACAAGAAATGTCTTTTGACATTTCTTTATGAATTCATTAATTATCGAAACAATTGCGAGTTCAAAAAGAAGTCGAACATTGCCTTGTTACACTCTATTATTTCATTACTGATTTGAATCGACGCGTACGACCGCGCGAGGACTTGGCAATACCGGGATAGCTAAAGCACGGGCGGCGCAGCGCTAACCGCGCGGGTGACGAGGGTCGGGAGAGAGACGCGAGTACTGAAGGGTTAACTTTAGGTTCCACGGACTCGATTTTTGTAATCTGGGGTTTACTTTTACCTGCTTTGAGAGCCTCAATTACTGCCGCTTGTCCCGCACCTTGTTCGGCCGACCCACCTTCACTTTCCTCACCCTCCTCTCCGTTCTCACCGTCTTCCCCGTTCTCACCGTCGTTCTCCTCACCTTTGCTCATCTCACTCACCTCGGCAGTAATTGGTGGTTGCTCCTCATAAATTCTGGGCATGATGGGAGGCTTATTGGCGAGGAGCTTCTGCTGATGCCACTCCACCAGTAGTCTCCATTGATTCTCTGTCATCATGCTTTTGGCTGTTGTGATAAATAGAATCTATGAATATTAGTATTACCATTTGTATATTGTGCCCTTTCACCTACCAACCGAACACAAGTATAGTCAGCTTCAGGACAGTCAGGCACAGACGAGATATGAACACAATATCCCCTCTATCCCCGAAAGAGCTGATCAATTTCCACGCACTGAACACAAGCACGCTTCAACTGATCACCCCTTTGGAGCAACCAAACTTCAGATTTTATTCTGAATTTTTTAAACTAGTATTTTTGTTTAATTTGATCATTTTCAGGGCTTAGTTAATTTGTGATTATATTTGGTAGCTAATATCCTCACAAGCACTTTGATCGCATGTATTTTTCATCGTAACTTTCCTTTTTAATTCATCTCAACTCACCAAACCTATAACACTTAATTGTGTCTGTTCGTATTAACACGGTCTCCTCTACTAACTCGAGGACGACGTCCTATCCTTTATGGAATTCATCAAATCCAAAGAGGAACGGTAGTTGCCTCCACAGCTCCCACAAGTCGTCACCTATGGTAATTTATTTATGATTAGGTGTACAAATAAGTTTTAGGACACTTCGCAAAAAATTAAAAATTCATTTTCGAAAAAAAGTAAACTGCATTTATTCACCAAAATAATCTTTATCAGTTTGAATGACCTTCAGCCATCTGTTAGGTAATTCATGGATGCCTTCCGCAAAGGAAGTTTCATCTTGCGAGGCAAGGAAATTATCGACCCATTTTTGCACTTCTTCAAATGTTTTGAATCACACATCAGTCAATTCGTTTTGCATCTTCCGAAACAAGTGAAAATCAGTTGGAGCTAAGTCTGGTGAATACGCCGGGTGTGGCACAACTTCCCATCCAAAAACCATTAACGTATCTTTGACTGGTTGACCCACATGAGGCCTGGAGTTGTCATGGAGCAATTTTACTGGACGTTTCCCTTTGCCAGTAAATGGACGTTTTTGTGCAATCTCTTGGTTCAATCTTATTAATTGTTGGCGATAGCGATCGGCAGTAACTGTCTCGCCAGACTTCAAAAGTTCATAATGCAGTACGCCTTTCATATCCCAACATATACACAGCATGATCTTCTTACAGTGAATATTGCGCTTCGGTGTCGATGTCGTCGGCTGGCTGAGGTTAATCCAATGATATTTGCGTTTTGGATTATCAAAATAAATCCACTTTTCATCGCCGGTCACAATTTTCCACAAAAAAGACTTTCTATGTTGCTTATTGTAAAGATTCAGACATATGTCAAGTCGGCTATCTTTATTTTCTTGAGTCAAAAAGTGTGGCACCCATTTTGTTCCTTTTCAAATCTTTCCCATTGCGTTTAAGCGATAGGAAACGGTCTGTTGAGTTACTACAAGCTGTTATGCAAGTTGTTTTTCCGTCGGACAAGAGTTTTCATCCAGTAACGCTTGCAGTTCCTGGTCATCCACCCTTACAGGGGCCCCGGTACGTTCACGGTCACTAACGTCGAAATCACCTCTCTTTAAATCGCGTATACCAATACTCACGTGTACTTTTAGATACAATGTTGTCCCCAAGAACAGAACAAATTGATTGACATGCTTTCCTAATAGTTTTTCCTTGATGGAATGCATAGCGAATGCAGTGTCTAATAAATAGCTTAGCGGTCTGCATGTTTTATTCACAGAATTTAAGGTTATGTTTATGACTCCCTTATGTTTCGATACTACATAACAAACCCCACCATATCATATGTAAGCGGTAACTGTGAATTACTTTCGAATCGAAGTGTCCTAAAACTTATTTGTACACCTAATAGTTTGCTGATTTGGGCTTGTTTTTATTTTTGTGCACTCTCGCCTTATTTGTATTTCGCATCAATTTCAAATTTGAACTTAGTTTTGCCGCTGGCTGCGGCTGCGATGCGCGTGCGCCTGTAGTAATCGTGATGAGTTAGGAAAGGGTTGCACAATTACTAACAAAGTATTCAAAATACTGAATCGTAATATATTTACTATCGCGTTAATTATAATATACAATAGATAGATGAATACGTATAAGTGAGTCCCGAGTAGAACTCGGAGACGAACTGTGACTGACTGACTCACTGGTCAGTGCGGATTAATAATTTGGGTAGCAGGTAAACGCGTGATATTTGAGAGAGCGAGATATTCGGAAGATTAGAGCGAGATAGGGCTCCTCTATCGGTGATTGCTCCTCAGCGCGTGTCTGCGTGTGTGTAAGTGTAGCAGTCGCTACATGACTCCCTTTGTTGAGAAAGAAAGTCGTATTTCCCTATAACTGGCAGTAATTGCGTCTGTAACAGAGAAAAATTTAAGTAGAATAGAAATGGATTTTTGTTCGTTTCGAAAATTGCACCGATCTGGTATTTTTTCTGTTGCTGTGGGGAATGGCTGTGATTTGAGCGCTGGTGGACGGTGTTGCTCCATCCTGCGGTTCGCCGCGATGCTGGTCCGCTGGTAGTTGTTGCTCTGGGAACTGATCTAAGTCCTCCGGCAAGACATACGCGGGTTTTAATCGGTCGATGGAGATTGGAGTGTCTTTGTACTGTCCTAGTCCACCTGACCTGTACCAGATGACAAAATATTCGTCATGTCTGCTGACGACGCGGTATGGACCCGTATATGGTGATCCATAAGCCATTCGAAGGATGTCCGTACGTACGAATATGTGGGTGCATGTTGCGGGATCCTTGAAGACGAAGGTGGCTCGCGTTCCATGTCGCGACACCGGTACCGGCGCGACGTTCTGGAAATGTATTCGGAGTCTCTTCACTAGATCAGGTGGTGTTATCCTCTCGTTGGACGGTGCCAGGAATTCTCCGGGAACGCGGATCGGTTCTCCATACGTTAATTCTGCTGGCGTTGTCTGTATATCGTCCTTCCACGCGGTTCTCAGTCCGAGAAGCACCGCGGGTAGCGCGTCATACCAGCTGTCGCCGTGGCAACGCAGTGCTGCCTTCAGCTATCTGTGAAATCTTTCGACTAGGCCGTTCGCTTGAGGGTGGTATGACGTTGTCATGAGTCTTTTTGATCCTAGCAGTCGCGTGAGTTCCTTGAATGTTTCTGAGTAGAATTGTCCGCCTTGGTCGGATGTGATTCTCAGAGGTATTCCGAAACGCGAGATCCAGTCGTAGAGTAAAGCGTGTACTACTGTGCTTTGGCTGGATTCCGCTAGAGGTATGGCTTCTGGATAACGTGCAAATCTGTCCACTATCGTGAGACACCACTTGTGTCCCTTGGATAGAGGCAGAGAGATCAAATCGATGTGGATGTGTTCGAATCTCCTCTATGGTAGCTGTAGTTCGCTGATTGGAGTCGCGGAATGCCGAGAAATTTTGTTTTTCTGGCATGCGAGACAGTGTTTAGCCCATTGAGAGGCTTGTGATCCGTGTAGATGACGACGTGACGATCTTCAAAGATGTGTCTGAAGTGTTTCACGGCCTCGTATACTGCATGGAGCTCCTTGTCGTAGGCTGAGTACTTCTGAGTAGCTAGCGAGAGTTTTTTACCGAAGAAAGCCAAGGGTTGCCAGGAACCTTGGTATTTCCACTGGAGAACGGCTCCGATCGCGTGGTCTGATGCGTCTGTGAATACAGCCCACTCTGCATCACTATTTGTGTGAGATAACAGAGTGGCGGCTGCCAGGGCTTGCTTGCACTGCGTGAAGGCTCCCTCGAGAGCAAGTGTCCAGTTTACCGGATGGCTTCCTTTTTTCTTGGGTCCTTTTTGTTCATTGTTGAGTGGTAACAGGATTCTTGCTGTTCCTCGGATGAATTTTCTGTAGAAATTAATTGTACCGAGGAAGCGACGGAGCTTTTTGATAGTACTGGGCCTTGGAAATTCAAGTATCGCGGTGACGCGGTCTTGGGGTGGCTTGATTCCTTGAGAATTGATTGTGTGGCTGAGAAATACAACTTCTGGCTTGCCCAGGTTAGACTTGGCGACGTTTACGATCAAACCGAAATTTTCGAGTCTACCGAAAAGTAGTCTGAGGTGCTCCTGGTGTTGTTCTTCATCGTTTGATGCGATGAGAATATCGTCAATGTA